TTACCTCACCCATGCAGGGCCCTTTGCAGCTCATTAACGATTACTTTCACTGATTTTGTGCTTTGCCCAGTCCTCAGGATACAGGCGAGGAATGTGAGCTCCACAGTGGTTGAGTGACCTGCGCCTTGTCCACAACTGGCCATCAGTGGGTCTGGGGTTGGAACACAGACTCTGTTCCATGTTTTCTGTGCCTCAGCACATTAACATACATCTGCTAAATATTTTGTCCTAAAATTGGTTTCCTTGGATTAAAAAAGTCTCAAGATAATTATGACTTCCATTAAATATAACCAAAAAGTGTAACACATGAGATTAACACAGAGCAGATTTTGAATTCTTGTCTGTAATTAAACCTATTTTTAAGGACACTTCCCGTGGGCTCCTAAACATAATGTAATTGTACTTCACGGCTTCCTCCATGCAGGTAGATATCAGCTCGTGGCCACATGTAACTACAGCTTTGGGTCCAGACCATCACCATCCAGGCCCTGAGTCTTCAAAGAAGCCCAAGAGGCCACAAAGCCCTGCCCAGCTCACTGTCCACACAAAGTATTCTCCTGCCCTCTCTCCTGCTCCCCACTCACCAGTACCTGCCAGCTTTAAGGGTGGATTTGCGCAGTGACTACAACTCCCACGTTGAGCCCTAAGTTCTCAGATCTGTTATCTCTTGGGCTGGGGTCCACTGTGGTTCCTCTTTGGCTTCTCCAACCAAGACTGGACCCCCTACCACATACTCCCTATAATCTGACCCTGACATTTCCCAGCTTTCCTGATGCCCACAGTTTGCAATACCTCAACCCCAAATAAACACTTTAAAAATAAAGAATAATGTCAGAGCAAGACTCCGTCTAAAAAATAAATAAAATAGAAATAAAATAAAATAAAAATAAAGAATAATGTCATCCATTTTTCTAGTAAAGTCCACAATACATCAAATCCCCATTGAGTAAAACTGGCCCTTTGGTAGAAGTCATCAATTAAGCTGAATTTTAAAAAATATCTGTATCATTATCATCCTCTTTCTAAATACTGTTAGGAATTACTGGTCCTTAAATGATTTCATTCACTAATTGTAATAAATTTATTTTGGGATGTCTCAGAAAACAAATTTGAAGATGAACAAAGCAATGCTTCTTAATACTGACATTGCTAAACTTCTCATAGAATATAAAAAGAAAATTACTTTTAAAACATACTCTTCCAGGTTATGGAGCTTAGGGGACTGATTGCAACTCTTACGTGGCTACTTTTATTAAAAGTTTGTGGTATCCAATAATGGTACTCTTAAAGAGTAATTAACATCTTCAGAATAGGATTCATGAATATTACTCACCGCAGCTTATGGAACCCAAACAAAAGCACAGCCAAGAGCCCAAGGCATGGTTGATATGCAGGAAATAGCCAGACCGGGCTGTTTGGTCAGCAGCCTCAACGCTCCAACTGGAGACTGGAATGGGACTCAAAGGGGCCTGGGAGTACGCTTCCCAAAACATGCCAAAGATGGTCATCTGGCTCATGAAATCTGGAAATTCAATTTCTTCGTTCCCAATGGTTCCCTTAAAAAAGTCAGTTTAATAAGTATTAAGAGTGCATCCAGTTTTGATGCTCTCCTGTGTACTTAAAAATATTACATACCGGCCTTCTGTTTTCATATAATCTCCATTACATAGTTGGGCTTTGCCCACATTTTGGCAATGGTGTCTGTCTTTCAAAATTTGCTTTCCTCATAAATAAAGAAGTGAGTCCCTGTTCTCTAGGCAGCCTCTCCTTTTACCTCCTAGCTGGGCTCAACCCTGCCATTCCCTTCCTTAGTCCTCTGAAACTGGGTGCCACCTGAAGTAGATTTACTGCCCTGTTCTTTTGGTGAGTTCTCTGTGTATCTCTCATCCGCCTCCTCATTTCTTCTGTGGACTTCGCATTCAGATGACACCTCTGAGGCTGTTCTGGCAGCCTATCCTCAGAAAGACCTCCTTGGGCCCAGCTGCTTCCGGAGATATGATAGAAAGTGGAATTGGGTGGGAAGGATGGTTTTAGAAAACTTGAATGCAAATGATATGCAAATGATGCCGCTAACAAGCTGTGTGACCCGAGGAAAATCACACAGCATCTCTGAATCTTTAATTTGGTGTTCTGTAAAAGGGAGATTCTCACCCCAACTCCCCTCTGTTGGAGCAAGATGGTTGTGAAATGACAAAAGCAAAGGAGCTCTGTAAACCACAAAGAGCTGTCCAGAGGTGAACAGATGTTATTTATTCTCCTAGCAACATCACTGCTTTCATCTGGGCAGCTGTTAGCAGCGGCATTATTCTTCCCCCGCCAGGTCCCAGCGTTCCCATCTCTTCTCTCATCCTGCTCCAGGAGGGCCCATCCCAGTGACCCCAGTTTCAGTTTCACAGAAGGTGCAGCTGGGTCCTTGTTCTCTGCAGCTGAAGCACTCAGTTTGCCAGAAGCCTGCCCCTCAGATAACTTCTTAAAATGCCGTTAAAGCATGCCCAACTTCCTCTCAGTTCCTGAAGCAAAACACAAGCAGCTGGCAAGTGGTTAACCCAAGCCACCCTCACCACAGCACCATCACACATATTTGGGGACAACAAAATGATGCTAACAGGGCTTAAGCTTTGAGGTGTGATGGGCCTAGGTTTGAATCCTGCCCTCAACCATTACCAGCAGTGTGATCTTAGGCAAGTCTCTTAACTTCTGTGAGCCTCAGTTTTCTCATCTATAAAATGAAATAATAATACGTCACAGGGCACTCGGTAGGTGATGATCATGATGATGATGATAATAATATGACAGAAACGCGGGGAGCTTGTTAGACAGCGTTTAGTTTACTGCTGCTTTTATTGGGACTGTTTATACTTCCTAATAACTCATTAGGCAAGTTCAAGATTTCCTGGGACCAGTGTACCATTTGAAGGTCTGGGGAGAGAAACCCTGCACAGTCCCCCTAGATGACCTGCTTTTTTCCTAGGGTCTCATCCAAGATAAATCCCATTTCTCATACCATGCTCCATATCTCCAGAAAATTGAATTAATACAAATAAAACTCTTGGAATAATTCCAAACTGAGACACTCACTGTTCCCCAAATAAGCCCCTCATAGTCTTGCCTCTGGGTGCATGTTCACACAATCCCCTCCACCAGGACAGCCTGTCCCCCTTGCAGTGCCAATAGGCATATGCCAATCTTTCATACCCATCTTTCCTGTCTCATCAGCTCAGCCTCGCCTAGTACGCAGAGTTCTTGGCAAACATGTCTTCTCTCTCTCTCTGCCCTGATGCCTCCAGGAGGCCAGAGGCCCTGCTACCATCTCCCGGGGAGAAATCAGAATGGGGCTTAAGGGGAGGAGGGGCTGTGGGAGGTGGTACCAAAAACTGATGCAGGAAGAAGAGAACCAGGAAGCAGGAAGATGAATGACTGAAGCCAGGGAAAATTTGCATCAGAGGGTCACTCTGTGTTAGGACAGGATTTTCATGAAGGGAAAATTCAGTTTAGTATAAGAAATCAAACAAGAGAAGCGCTATGGGGAGTCTTTACCCAGAATAGATGCAAAATATCTTCACAGGGCTTCCCATGTGCAATGTTCTACAAGGCCATTATTAAAATTCATAAATGAGGAGAAGCTAGTTGATAACCCAGAATAACATTAGTGTTCGATCCGTGCAGAAACAATAATCAATAAGGCCAACAGGAGGGGCTCAGAGAACAGCAGAGACATTCACACTGCTGGGGGCCTCTCCTCCTCCGGGTGATTTCTGTGTGTTTAATGTTTCTTTATCCCTGCAGTATCCCGTGTATCAAGATTGTACTCTTACAGGTTCCTTGGGGACAGAGCTGAGTCTGTTTCCTGCTTGTCTTCTTGATGTCTCACACAGGGCCAGCCACAGAGCCCGTCTCCATAACCGGGTGCTAGACCATGCCTCCTGCTCATGTTCCCTCACACCTGAGTGAGCCTTCCTGCATTGAAGGCCTAGTCTGCAGTCTCTGGGCTTTGACTCTGAAGCCAGTCTCTTTTCATGGCAGCTCAACCATCATGCTGGCTGAGAGGTCTCAGTGAATATCTGTTGACAGAGATCTCGCACACCCCTGGTCTCCTCTTAACTTACCTGTCAAACTCTGGCAGGAACACCTCCTCAACCCCACCTGTCCTCCAGCTCTGAATCCTATCCTGGCCCAAGGTAGAGGGAAGAACAAGATCTTGGTGTAGGCATCAACCAACATAGCAACTCACTCAATTCTGACTTCATATCCAGGAGATTTTTCACTATCTAGTCCATGTTATAAAAATGGATTTAAGGCTGGGTGAGGTGGCTCATGCCTGTAATCCCAGCACTTTGGGAGGCCAAGGCAGGCGAATTACGAGGTCAGGAGTTCAAGACTAGCCTGGTCAACATGGTAAAACCCCATCTCTACTAAAAATACAAAAAATTAGCCGAGCATGGTGGCACATGCCTGTAATCCCAGCTACTCAGGAGGCCGAGGCAGGAGAATCGCTTGAACCCAGGAGGCAGAGGTTGCAGTCAGCCGAGATCGCGCCATTGCACTCCAGTCTCAGCAACAGAGTGAGACTCCATCTCAAAAAAAAAAAAAAAAAAAAAAAAGATTTTAGAGGACAATCACCTTAATAAATCGCCTGTTTTTATTTCTGCTTGTTCCAGTACAAACATAACTTTTGTATAGCACAAAACCTTAGAATTACAATTTGCATTCTGATTTTTTTTTTTTGCTTCATAATATAATCATTTTTTTCCCCTATGCTGTTGTTTAGTCCTTGATAGTTGCATAATATTTGCATTGGGTCAATGTAGCACAGTTTACTTAACCAGCTCACTAGTTTTTGGTGACTTCCAATTTGGTGCTAAAATTACATTGCAATGATGATCTTGGTGGATATTATTTTTCTGAAGTTAGAATTATTTTCTAAGGATAGATTTTCAGAAAAGGAATCAATGAATTAAAGAATATGAGTGTTCTTAAAACTCCTAATATATAGTGCCAAATTAAAGTTAGTGGGGGTATTTTTAACTAATTTATGTTGCCATGAGCAATATATAAGTATTTCGGTTTCATCACAATGCCACCTATATTGGGTGTCATGATTATTTAACATTTTTGCTAATTTAGAATGTATAAGTGATATCTCATTTTGAAAAAAATTTGCCCTTCTTTAATCACTGGTGAGGCTGGCAGATTTCTCTTATGTTTCTCTTATGCTCACATCTCCTCTTGGAGATCTTGACAGTGCTAGAATTTCTGCTCTGGTGGTGAAGACACCCAGTGTTTTGGTTCTTGCATTTATAACCTATGCTCCTTCACTCTGGCTTTTTCCCCTAGTTGCTCATCTCTTTGACACAACTTGATCTCACATTTGTCAACCATTTTACCAAAGTCTAAAAACTTGGGTAGGGATTTATAATCATGGATTAAGAGAATGTCAGATGCAGTTAATAACAAGTTTAGGTTCCAGAGCAAACTCTGGTATTTTCTTGTTTGTTCATTTTTTAAACTATGTGACATTAACTTCACTTTTTCTCTCTGGGGCTTCTCTTTTCTCACCTGCAGAAAAGAGTAATACCACTTACCCACTTACCCTATAGTGTTGTCTGAGCACTTTGAGCCTTATAAAACAAGGGTCAGCCAAATTTTTCTGTAAAGGGCAGATAGGAAATATTTTAGGTTAGCAGGTCATCTGGTCCTTGTCACACTACTATATTCTGCCACTGAAATATGAAAGTAGTGCAAACAATAGTAAAAATAAACTAGCATGGCTATTGTTCAATAAAGTTTTCTTTATAGACACCAAAATTAATTTATTTTACCTATAAATGCATAATTTATACTTTATACTGACATTTTAAAAATATAATATATAACATTGCATATTACAACATAATAAGGACATGTATAATTATGTGTAGTATATTTTGTACTTATATGTAAATGTTATAATTACATATGATTATATTTTTTAAATTTTGTATAATTTCCATTATATACAATGTGTCACAGAATACTGTTGTTTTGATTTTTTTCTGACTATTTAAAATTACAAAACCCATTTTTTGCTCACAGGCTGGACAAAAACAGGGAGCAGGCTGGATTTGACCCATGAACTCTAGCTCGGCCAGCCACTTCTCTCAAGTCCTAACCAGCTTGAGATCTCATGGGATAGTCAAAACAAATCAATACTCAGGACAGGCAATAGTACTGCCCCTGATTTTTAGTAGAGAAAACAAGGGACAAAGAAAGTTAAATGACTTGTCCAAGATCGCACAGCCAGTATAAGGAAGGGCTGGAATTGGGATCAGATCTGGCTAACTCCAAATCCCAAGCAATGTGGTTGTGGCCAGCTTCCTCCCCAGTCATTGGTCCCAGTCCTGGGCCAACTCCCTTGTGTCAGTATCTATTCCCAGATCCCTGAGTTTCCTGACCCATGGTTGAGGGCCTCCTTCCTCAACCTGTTCCACACTGACCCCAACCAAGGCCAGAGACTAACATGGCCCCACATCAGAAAAAAACAAACCCAGTCTTTCTACTTTCTACAAAAAGCCTCTTTATCCTCCAACCACAAAGTCACGTATTTGTAGAATCAAGCACCAAATTTCCACATTCATGGAGATGTTTAGTAGTATATAGACAGGACTCAAATCTGTCTGTCACAAACACTCCGCAAACATTCACTTGACCAATCAGCTCTGATTATCAGTCTTGTCCCTATGACATGTGACCACAATCACATTTTTCTGTTTTGTTTCCTTTTGATGAGTCCCATACTCTTCGAGGACAAGACCAGCATCAGTAGAAAAATCACTACCTTGCAAACAGGAAATCCTACAACAACAAGAGCCCACGTCGTCTGGTGGAACAAGAAAAGGCTTTTGCAAATGGTAACCAGAGTTCAAGAGGTGGTTCTGCCACTAATGACCTGACTTCCCTGAGGTTTAGTTTCTCAGCTGAAAATGAACACAATTAGCTTTAAATGAAAAGATATTTGTAAGTGTCTTTTGTAAACTGTAGACCTATATACAAATACTAGGTAATGATGCTGTGATAAGGCTTGTACAATTTCAAACTAACACTTTAACTTGAATTACGACTTTGTCAGCTCTATTCAAGATGTAATCCTTGTCAGCTTCTATAGAAATTCAAAGGCAATGTTTCCAGGAGATTTTTTTTTTTTTTTTTTACCCCAAGGCTTACTTTCTTTCCTGCATGAATGGGAACTGAATTCATTATGAATTCCTCTGGCACGAGCACAAATCCAGGGTGTATGCGGTTTGAAGTGACAAATGATAGGATGCTGTTTCAGGGGCTTGTGTGGGGGCGGGCAGCACCAGCAGAGGAGTGAACTCCATTGTCCCAGGCAGTGGCACCGGCAGCCTCTGTGTGGCACCAAGGCCGCCACCTACAAAGAGCACATCACAAAGCCTCCCCCAGTATCAGCACTCATGCTGATAGGGCTCTGAAATCCCAGGGATGTCAGATACACACCCTACCCAGCCTTTATAGGAACTCAGTCACCTATACAAGAATCCTTGCCTTGGGTTCTGATCACAGCCTATTCAGAGCTAAAAGAGATCCTGCATTACCTGGTCTAATCTATTTCATTTCACTTATGGGGAAACTGAGGCTCATATAGTAAAAGTGACTTGCTCAAGTTATAGAAGCCTTAGCATTAGAAGACTTTGGTATAAGTTTTTGTTCTGCAACCAACTAGCTATGTAAACTTGGTCAGATTATCCTCATTGAAAGATGACTAACTCTATCATCAATAAAAACTAGCATTTTGATAGGACTTGAGGGTTCATCAACTGTATTCACAATCTAATACTTACCATAAACATTAAGACAGAGCAGGCATTGTAGGAATCTGCATTTTCTCTAAGAAGAAAGAGAAGCTCAAAGAAGCAAAGTGATTTTCAGGTTTTCACAGCTAATAAGGGGAAACTTACACCTACCTTCTGGCTCCAAATATTGTGTTTTCTCCATCAATGAATACTGTTTAATTTCCTCAGTAATAAAACATTTAAAACTTGTCTTGTAAGGCCTGAAGGATATATGTAAAAGTACGCTTGATCACTGGTTCCCAACATTTTGAAAATAGGGAAGTGTATTGGTTATCTATTTATGGAGAATAAACTACCCCAAAACTTAGCAGCTTATAACAGCAAACATTTATACTCTCATACAGGTTCAGAGTCAGGGGCATGGAAACAGCTTACCTGTGAGATTCTGACTCAAAGTCACTCACAAAAATGCAGTCAGGCCATCAGGGCTGCAGTCATCTCAAGACTTACCTGGGGCTGGAATCCTCTTCTAGACTCTCTCTTGTGGTTGGCAGCAGGCCTCAGTTCTTCACTGGATGCTGGACTTTGGAGCGAGACCCCCAATCCTCTCCATAGGCTGTCTGAGTGTCTTTTTGATGTGGCGGCTGGCTTTCTTTAGATTAAGGGATCAAAGAAAGAGATACAGAGAGAGAAAGAAAGAGAGAGAGACAGAGAGTGAGAGAGAGAGAGAGAGACTACCCAAGATGGAAGCCACAGTCTTTTTATAACCTAATATCAAGGATGATATACCATCACTTCTGCAGTACTCTATTCATCGGAAACATGTCACTAAGTCCAGCCCACACGGAAAGGGAGAGCATTACACAATGATATGAATGTCAGGAAATGAGGATCACGGGGGCCATCCTGGAGGCTGGCTACCGTAAGACCCCTTCATCATTCTAAAATCTTTGCTGACTCCCACAAGATCAAGATCATTTTTTTTTTCTAACAGAGTCTCGCTCCTGTCATGCAGGCTGGAGTACAGTGGCATGATCTTGGCTCACTGCAACCTCTGCCCCCCAGGTTTAAGCAATTCTCCTTCCTCAGCCTCTCAAGTGGCTGTGATTACAGACGCCTGCCACCACGTCTGGCTAATTTTTGCATTTTTAGTAGAGATGGGGTTTCACCATGTTGACCAGGCTGGTATCGAACTCCTGACCTCAGGTGATCCACCCACCTCAGCCTCCTAAAGTGCTGGGATTATAGGCGTGAGCCACCACACCCAGCCAAGATCATAATTTTTATATCATCTGTTTGACTGAAAAACAAAGTAGATTAATCTATATGAAATTGCCCAGGTTTACCTGTTTGTGACCCACAAAAATGGCAATTTCATATGATTCAAGCTAATTTATCATCTCTTGAAGCTCTCAGGTATTCATGAACACTTTTTGATGATGCTGTACTTCATTAATTGCAATAGCATGTGTGTTCTTAGGGAAAAATGTTAATATTTATAGTTGGAGGTATGTTATTTATTCAGTCTTCAGACAGCAACTGGTGAGAAATGGGTTTATGACTTCTCCTCACCTCTCTAGAATTAACTGCATAGGCCCCTAGGGGTCCACAACCCAAAGACTTAATCATTGCACAAGCTGGATGTAAGATACAACTAACTCTAGTAGATGCCAAATGTCCTTTCTATGACAACGTACTGCCTTCCAGTAGGTGTCTTTATCAGACAAGTAACAGCCCGTTCTGTTAAAATGAACAATTCTAATGAGTCAGTTCTGATTTGCTAATAGCTGCCCCAGATCAATCAGAGGCTTTTTGTTATAATTCTCAGAACCGAAGCAATAAACTGGAAGGAATTGTATCATTTATCACATGGTGTGGTGCCTCATGCCTGCAATCCCAGCAATTTGGGATGCCGAGATGGGCAGATTGCTTGAGCTCAGGAGTTCAAGACTGGCCTGGGCAACATGACGAAACCCCATCCCTACCAAAAAAATACAAAAATTAGCCAAAAGTGGTGGTGTGCACCAGTAGTCCTAGCTACTTGGGAGGCAAAGGTGGGAGGATCACTTGGCCAGAGAGGTTGAGTCTGCAGAGAGCCATTATTGTGCCACTGCACTCCAGCCTGGGTGACAGAGTGAGACATTGTCTCAAAAAAGGAAAAAAAAAAAAAAAAAAAAGCTAATTTATCATTTTAGTCTCCTAACTTTTGAGAGACAGTGCTTGGGCCATCAGTCTGCTGCATCCTCACTGATTTTCAGTTAATGCTCTTACTATGAATACTAGTCCATAAAAAGTAGCTGATATCAATGGTTCAGTTCAGGGAACTGCTGTCCTACACAGTTACTGAGAAACTGCTATGGGCAGAAACTACTCCAGCTTCTGGGGATTCAGTGGTGAATGAGACAGGATCTTTGCTGTCATATATTTTACATTCTTACAATTCCCACACCTAGCTTTCTAGAAATATAGATCCTTGGGATCCACTCCAGATTTATTCACTTTTAAAGCCCTGCAGATGACTGATAATAGCTAAGTTTATGTCCAGCATTTGAGAAACAGTGGTCCATATTTCAGTTCTCAACTTCTTCATCTCTCGTTTACTCCATACCCCACAGCAATGCTTTCTGCCCTCACTGCTTCACAGAGATTGGTCTTGTTAACATCAATGAACTGATAGCTGACTCCATGGATTACTTCCAACTTCATTTTACTTTCTCCTTCATGGCATGACACTGCTGACCATGTCCTGCTTCTTGAAATTCTCCTCCTTCGGCTTTTGAAAGCATTCCCTTTGAGTCCTGCTCCTGCCTTCACTCTGGTTACTCCCTCTCAGTGTCCTACTGCTGACCCTCTTCCTTTCCCACTTGATAAACAATGGGGTTGCTCAGCACACCAGTCTCAGTCATTGCTTCTCACTCTCCAAGGAACCCCTGAGCAAATTCCCCCGTACTCCTGCTTTAACTAGTCTATGTCGATGACTTGAAACCCTGTCTAGGAGACCTCACTCCCCAACACCAGTAGCACTCGTTAGCACACAACACTCCACAGACCCAAGGATGCAGCCCAGCTTGAAAGAAACAGAAACCTGTGCTCCCTTCCCAGAGAATGAGCTACATCTTTGTTTTAGAGAGGTCACCAGGTGAGAGTGGACTTCTGCAAAGATGAGTGCTAAACAATATTTTTATGTTTTAAATTCTGAGCCTGAGGGGGAACAGGGGATAAAAGCTATTGATTGAGGGACAAAAAGAACAAGGAAGAGAATTGGGTGGCATGAATGTGACATTGTTTGCATATGTATTTGTGTGTGTATATGTATATTATTTTTGGGTATATGTATATTATATATAGTATATATAAAATATATGTGTGGCTATATAGGAGACAATAATTGTACCTACCTCACATGGTTATTATGAACTAATGTAAATAAAATACTGAACAATGTACCTGGTGCATAGTAAGGATGCATTCCTGTTAGCTTCATTCCACTGTCTCCAAAATTTTACCTGCTTAAGCAAATACAAGAAATTTCTGTTTGAGTCAGATCCAGTTGCTAAGCTTAACTTTAGGCTAGAGAGTGGATAACTGCACTCCTGAAATTGCATGCATAATTTTATATAAATATGCATATGTTTGTTTTTCTAAAGATGGAATCCTTTATTTTCATGAAATTCTCAGAGTTTTTGTCTCTAAAAATGTCCAGAATGCTTAGATATCATCTGCTGGTCAACATTTCAACTATCATTACTAATCTTTCTCATTCGTAAACACACTATTTCCCATCAAGATCTAGACCAGTCACTCAAAGATACTCCTTTCTAAGAAAATTAGTGGAGTCCTCCTTGCATGCATGCATTCATTCATTTGTGTAATAGGCAATTATTTGCGATGACTCTATACCTGACATTGTGCTAAGCCCAGGGCACAGTGAAACACGAACTCTGTAAAATATCCAAAAGGTAACTACTTAACCTGTGATGGTTTAAAGTCACTATAACATTTGAAAAAGGGGTGTCCCAACAGCTTTGGAGCAACAGCTTTAAAATGTGCTACTATCAATAGAAACAATTTTTTTTTTCCTTAAGAAAGGAGAGAAGGGAGATCATTCAATAAGAAATAAAAATATAGCAATGTTTTATCTTTAACTGGACAGAAGCTAAGGAGAGACAGTCTCCCAGATTTTACCACCTTCATCCTTGCCTCTTTCTTTTTAGTTTTTTTTTTGGACAAAAATCTTCCCTTTATATTCTAGACTTTCTCTTTTAGTTCATTATGAATTGTAGACTCTTGAAGTCTTAGAAATTGGTGGGCCCTTAATCCATAGATACAGCATATCAATTAGGTCTAATCTTGAAAATATCCAAGAATGAGGGTCTCACTAACATAGAGAGTCATTCTATATTATAGTGTGTTTAATTGGTAGTAATTTTTTTCTTTGTTTTGGGCTGAAATTTACTCTAATTTTCAACCCAAAGTCCTAATTTCATCTTTTGGGACTATCCATGTCTTCTACATCAATATTTTTCATTAATATGCCATTAAATCAATTTTGGAATTACATCTAGCATGATATTGAATGAAATTAGAAAAGGCCAAGATAGGATAGAAGAGGAAAGAATTGAATAAAATCTAATTGAATTGAATATTCAGAGTAGAAAATATCAGCATTTAGAGCTTGTAATAGTAACTGGTATTATAATTTTGGTTATTTATATAAATATGTTCTAGATTGTGTTATAAAAATATCTTTCTTACTTTTGGTTTTCATTGGAAAATTTGGAAAACACCAATTCCTTCAGATCTTTGATGACTGTCGTGGAACTCCATGGGTTCTGTTCTCCAGATTCAGTATCCCAGTGCTCATGAAAATGCCTCATTTCATTTGACTTTGTTTCCAGTCCCTTCCCTACCCTGGTCTCTCTTCTTGGACTGTGCTATCTTGAACTTTCCTCTTTAAGTGGAATCACAGCATCCCCCAGCCAGGACAGGACTGGGAGAAATGGGGACAATATCACAACTGGGGGCAAGGAGATAGGCAGCAGTTTTCCTTGCCTCCTTGTTTGCTAGGTTTTCCAATGTGTTCAGCAGTGGCATTCCAAGACCCTATTGCCAGAAAGCTTTCAGGAAAGTATTTGTGGGAAACTTAGATAAAAAAAATACATATTGAACAGCTACTCTACCAGGTCCCTGGCTAGTGTCAAGAGAGAGAGAGATAAAACCCACCTTGTGTGGTCCAGGCCTACTCATACTCATTGTCTCATTGAATCTGTGAGCTATGTAGAATCATTTTCATATCGTTTTATAGTAAGAGAACCAAGGCTCAGAGAGGCACATAAGAAACTTTTGTTATATAGAATTTGTCATAAAACTTGCAATAAATGGTTATTAGACCACTCGTAATGTGATGTGGGTGACAATGGCAGTAGCTCTTAACTCCATTAGCACTTGATTGTTTTCAAGACACCCCCTATCCCTTATAACAACCATTTAGTGATTGTGTAGAACAGATAACAGCATTCTCATCTTCCAGGTGAGAACATGGGCCAAGGAAGATTAAGCTACTGGTCCAAGGTCACATATCTAGAGATCTAGAGGATACTGTAGCTAGGATTTGAACTTGGGTTCCAACTCTAAATTCAATGCCATTCTCAT